CAACACTTGTTCAGACTGATGTCCCTGCTCTTGTGTTTGGTTGAAAGAAGGCAGCAGTCAGTGTGTTCCTGATCATCTTGTTAAGCGGGAGCAGGATCATGGATAAGCTGCTCTATGTAGCCATACATGCTTACCTTATACACTATTGATCTCTGCAGATACTGTGCTGGACATGCTAACTAAGCACATGTAGGTACTTTGCACAGATTGCAGTGCAGCTTAAATAAAATTCTTCTACCTCATGTATAAATCAGGCCCAAGTACCAAAGGCTTCCCTTTCTCAAGAGAATAGGATTCCCAACTAGGTTAGCTGGCTGATTAAAACTTCAATGAGTGATGGCCAGATTCCACAGATAACATATTTCATTCTTGTGAAGGAGAGAGACATGTTTTAGCTGCAGCTTCTCTGGCCATGCAAAGACAATGGCAAATACAATGGCACCTGCTGAAATTCTCGGCTCTGTTGAACTATTAAAGACATGGGGATCTCATTATCTATTGAATCTGGCTGGTAGTATTTGCAGTAGTTGCTGAACCAACAGTAACATGGCCACTTATGTAGCCAGTTACAATGTCCTTTCATTTTTAAAAGATGCTTGAGATAATCAAGTTTCAAGGCATTCCAGGAGGCTGAAGAATAGGATATCTGAAGAACCATATGGTGTTTCAAACTAGTGAAATGGGGCAGGGGGCAGAATACTTTCCCCCCAAATCCAATTTCCACCCAAAATCTGTTTTCATTTAAAACTATTCTTGATGTCTGTAGTGATAATTATTAAATGCACCAAGTCCACAATTTCTTCTGTAACCATCCAAGAACTCTTTGGCAGGTTAGTTGGAAAGGAAAGCTGCCCCAAGGGCTCTCCATCTCCTGATAGCTGAGTTTTGGAAGCAGGCAATTCTGACCCAAAGAAAGAAAGAAAGAGGAAAACTTGGCACAGTGCCTTAATTTTTTTTCCAGATAAAGTCCACTTTATATATTTTATCAGATTTTTGTATCAGATCTAAACAACAGTTTTCTTCCGCCGCTAACTGTTTATGCTATGAATAAGGAGAAAGAAGGGCAAATGTTAACTGCAAATCAAAATTTACCTTTGAACATAAAAACTTGGAGACTCTGCATTTGTTTTATTAGTATAAACCATCACAGAACCTACCAGCCATCACAGAACTTTTGGCAGATGGGAACGGAGTCAAGACCAGCTGAGTAGTTGTCATCTGCCCAGTGAGCAGCAAGTGGTGAACACCTGTAAAAGCACTCCATCTTCTTCATGTAACTCTCGCAGCTGTTATGGTGTGAGAAACAGTAATTGTTTTTCATATAACAACCACCACATAACTGTACGTACATTTCTCCATGCAGCAATCAGCCTGCATTTCCCGAATCATTTTCTTGGTATGCAGCACAATAGATTAAGCTATTCAGTCAAAATTTAAGGACCTGCTGCTTAGCCTCTTGCACTGGCAGTCTCACACATGCTTATGGGCTTTGGTATATAGGACAGCAATGTGCCAGTACCATGTTCTAATATTTTTGACTGCCTCCATTTTAAATGGCCAATTATTCTGTAATCAAATCTATTACAATATGAAACACATACCCTTCACAGGAATCTTCCTTGTTCTATTTCTGCTTAAATTCCACATTGTGACTTTTAATTATTAGATATTCTTCTCTGTGCAACTGACAGATTGTTAGGTAAATTAAACAATAATTTTCTATGAGTGATTGGCCTGCTATAACACAATTTAATAAAAAACTGGTTCAATCAGAAGAATAATATTCCAGATTTCACACACAGCTTTAAATCTAAGCTCTGCAGCAACCCCACCAAACATGCTGAAAATCTATTACAATATGAAACACATACCCTTCACAGGAATCTTCCTTGTTCTATTTCTGCTTAAATTCCACATTGTGACTTTTAATTATTAGATATTCTTCTCTGTGCAACTGACAGATTGTTAGGTAAATTAAACAATAATTTTCTATGAGTGATTGGCCTGCTATAACACAATTTAATAAAAAACTGGTTCAAACAGAAGAATAATATTCCAGATTTCACACACAGCTTTAAATCTAAGCTCTGCAGCAACCCCACCAAACATGCTGAAAATCAGCATATTCTAAAAAGCAGAATAGAATCAGCATTTACTATTTATCTTATTACAGACTTTAGATAACCAGAGGGTGACACATACCATTGATCCAGTAGCACCTTCGAAACCAACATGATTTTCATCAGATAAAGAGAGCTTTGACACTTGAAAGCTTATACCCTGAAAATCTTGTTTGTCTCTAGGGTGCTGCTGGACTCGAATCTAGCTCTTATATATTCTTGTTCATCTGCCAGTAAGGCCATATCTTCTTGATATCTTACCCAGTCTGTAATCAATTGCAGTCTAGCTGCCCTATAGCAGAATAATAGATCTGGTGGTCCAGAACCTCTTTTTTTTTAACCACTATGCATAATCTTACCTCTGGCCCTAGGTTTTTTCTCCTCCCATATAAAATGATTAAGCGAGTCACTTCCGGTGGACGGCGACTCGCGACAGTCGCACCCCATCAAATTCTGATGGGGGCAAGTTGGATCGGGGGAGCAAGGAGGGGGATCGGATGGTCCCGACCTCCCCATGAAGCTCTGGGAGGGAGCTTCTAGCCTGGAGCTCTGAAGGGGCCACTCTCGAAGTTTCGGCTTCGGTGCACAATGCTCCTTTTTGCTCTGGTAGGTCCCGTGGTCCCGAGGCCAGCAATGGCACTCAGAGACGTTACCGGACCAGAGCGTACAAGGACTTAACTAAAAAGAAAATCTACGAGAAAAAGTGATCCAGCGATTAAACAAACAGTGAGTTAAGTGGCAAAAAGAAAGACATATATAAAAAGGGAGGTGGAAGAAATCGTCACAGCGAATTGGTGTAGCTTCAAAGAGACAAGGGGGGGGGGCTTGTGGAGGCAGAACCCTACCAAGTAGCGAAATTAGAGCATAGAAGCTTGCCAGACCCAGGCGATTAAAGCGGAATACATCTGAGTGAATCATTTACAACATAGAAAAGATCTCAGAACTTTTATAAACTTTTACCTAAGTATAAACAATGTCTCAGTGTGGGACTAAAATGGCGTCCAGAGGCAGAGGCTCTACAGGAAATGCCAGCACAGCATCACCAGTCACAAGACCAGGAAATACCAGCGAGTTAGCTACTGCAATTTCCGAAGCCATGCGCCCTCTGCTGGACCAGTTTACGAACCTCAACCAAAAATTCAACACTTTACAGAAAGAGCTCAAGGAAACTGCAGTCAAATCGGAGAAGTCAGCCAAAAAGATAAAAAAGGTTGAAATTAAGACCAAAGAAATAGACCAAAGAATGGACAAAGTGGAAAAAGAAAGAACTTCTGAAAAGCGACAACTTCTACAGCTACAAATGGAAAGATCTCTTTCATCTTGAGATTTCAAGAGGTGCCAGAGAAAAAAGATGAGAACTTAAGAGAAATTATAAGCGAAGCAATGGCCCCCCCTAATCAATAACAAACCTGAACTACTACAAGCAGACATTGATATGATCTACAGAACCTATTCAGAGTTTGTAAAAAATAATAATCTCCCAGGGGAAAATTTTGTAAAATTTGCAAAAAGATCAATAAGAGACTCAATACTCAAAGCATCTACAGCGACAACAGTCAAAATTCAAGAAGAGGAGATAAAAATATTGAAAGACGTTCCATATGAAATACGCAAGAAAAGGAAGCAGTAGAGAAATATTACAGCATTCCTCCAAAAGAACAATGTCCAATACAGATGGATTTTTCCAGAAGGACTTTAAGGACAAGAAGGAAAAGATTGACTCTCTATTAAAAGCAGAACTCTTTCTTAAACTACAAAAATCTTCAACCAAACAAAGAAATGGAGCAGAGGAAGAGAAGGCAACGGGGAAAAAACAGCGAACAACAGAAATCCGATACGGATAGTTCATCTTCTACAGCTACGTCCGTATCTTTGGGTGGAATCTTTGACTCTGACTCGGATTCGGATTTAGGAGATGGAGCTCCTAAAACATTTGAAGTAAATCTCCCCTGGCAAAAGAAGAAGAAAACCAAAGCTAAGAAGAAAACTAAGTGAACATCTGTGATCCACTGTGTTGACATTTAATCTACACATATTATTAACCAGATGTGATGTCATACTAAAATGCCTTTATGTTCTTTCTATTTGAACGCTTTTATTAGATTTTAAAGAACTGAATGTAATTATTAACATGTAGAGATATATCCAAAGCGTTTGATTAGCTTATCAAAGGTTCTTGTTACTCTCTTTGTAGTTTTAGTTTTGTAGGTTATAGTTTTGTGGTGTGTAGGAAGAAAATCAATAAAAATTATATATATATAAAAATGATTAAGCAATCTTTGTCATTTTTCTTGTGTATATCCAGGAGTGGGAGCAAACACATTTCTTAAAGGAAAAGATTTCTGGCAATATTACCATTTTTATAGTGCTTTTACCAGTTAGTACAGATGACCAAATTGCACATTTTGCATGGATTTTGATAGTTAAAGGATTTAAGTTAAGCCTTACTGAATCTGTCCTGCTTCTAGGTATGGACACATCTAAATAATTCATGAAATTTGGATTTATCTTCATAGGCTTCCAAAAACAACCTTGATCTATACTAGCTTCATCTATGTTATAGAGTAGAATCTCAGATAAACCCCATCAAACTGTTATATTCTTTAATACTATCTGCTAACACTTTGCAAGACTTTTGAAAGTCTGTAATAAAAGTATATCATCTTCATACAGTTTAACTTATATACATGCTTGCCTGTTTGCTTTAATATATTTGTTACCTCTAATGCATATTACCAAAGGTTCTAAGGGGATTACAAAGGGTAAGGCTGAAAAGGGGCACCCCTATCTGGTTCCCCCGGACATTATAAAACTGTTTGACAACGTTCCATTCATCAACATGTACATGAAACTGCTGGATGAGGTCATCCAGAGATTTGGGCTGGGTTGTCCTTGTCACCAATATGTGGATAACACTCAGCTTTATCTCACACTTCTGGCTGATCCAATGGAGGCTGTTGAAACTCTGAACCGGTGCCTGGTGGCAGTTTTGGAGTAGATGTGGAATAATAAACTGAAGGTTAATCCTGACAAGACTGAAGTGCTACTGGTGAGTGGAAGGTCTGACCCAGGATTTAAGGTGTTATCTATTCTGGATGGGGTTGTACTCCCCTTGAAGTACCAGGTCCATATTCTAGAGGGTGCTGTTTGACTCAGATGCACAGCTGGATAAGCAGGTGGCAGCTGTGGCCAGAAGTACCTTTTACCAGTTTGACTGGTTAGCCAGTTGTGACCTTTCCCAGTAAGAAAAGATCTGGCCACTGTGGTGCACACCCTGGTAATAGCTAGATTAGATTATTGCCATGTGCTGCCCTTGAAAAGTGTTGGTGAACTTCAGTTGGTGCAGAATGCTGCAGCCAGGATGTTGAGTAGAATGGGCTATAGTCCAAGACTGGGGGCATATAGTTCTTATTTATACTTTTTCCTGACTTGTTTCAGTGTACAGTTGGGGAGCTGCTGTGTCTTAGTGGTAGTAGAGCATCTGCTTGGCATACAGAAGGTCCCTGGTTCAATCTCTAGCTAAAAGGTCCAGGTCAAAGGTGATGTGAAAGACCTCAGCCTGAGACTCTGGAGAGCCACTGCCAGCTTGAGTAGACAATATAGACTTTGATGGACCAGTTCAGTATAAGGCAGCTTCATACGTTCACATTTCAAGGTGCTGGTGTCAGCCTTTAAAGCTCTGTATAGTTTAGGATCAAGATACCTGAAGAACCACCCTTATGGACCTACTCAGCCACTTAATTAATCTTCTAAGGCTCTGCTTTGGGTGTCCCCACCTTCTAAGAGTAGGCAGGTGGTAACCCACGAGAGGGCCTTCTCAGCTATGGTGCTAAAACGCTGGAACTCTCTTCTGTTCCCTTCTGTTGTCATCTTCCACCAGCAAATTAAGTCCCCTCTGTTTCTTTGGCATTCCCTCAGTGATCCCTCTTTCCCACCCAATGTTTTAATTGTTGTTGTGTACTCCAGCTCAGTTTTAAGGGTTCTAATCAGGGGTCATTTCAGGGGGGATCGCGGGGGATTGCAGTTCCCCCGGGTGAGGTACGGGGGGCGGGGCACATGACGAAGCCCCGCCCCCTGCTTACGGCCGCTCCGCTTACGGCCCTCATTCAGCCAGGAGGAGGCAGGAGAAGAGGGAGGGTAAGTTGCTTCCTCCCTGCCTCTCCCCACCCCTGCCTGCCTGGGGCCAGGGAGGGCCTTCGCGGGGCTTCCTCGCACTCCCGCCGGCCTTGCAGGTCCACCGCCGGGCCCCTCATGGGGCTTGGCAGTGGAGCTGCAAGGCTGGCGGCGGCTGGGACCGTTGGGGGCGAGGTGTGTGGCCTTATGACACACTTCTGGTGATGTCAGAGGGTGTGGCCTCATGACACACTTCCGGTGATGTCAGGGGGTGTGGCATATGCTAATGAGTTATGCTAATGAGTTCCCCTAGCTCTTTTTCTATGAAATGACCCCTGGTTCTAATGATATTGGGTTTTGGTTTTAATGGTTTTTAAGTTATGATTTTATGATGCATGTTTGTAATTTGTTAGCGGCTTTGGTGGCCGTTATGACAACAGAAAAGGTATAAATTTTGTAAAATAAATAAATAATCTGAGCATACACTTCAGTGTATATAAGGTATATCCAAATAATAAAATATTGACCAAAACCTAGTAGGGTTGCCAGCCTCCAGGTGGGTCCTGGGGATCTCCCACTTTTACAACTGATCCCCAGCTGACAGAAATAATCAGCTCCTCTGGAGAAAATGGCTACTTTGAAGGGTGGACTATGGCATTGTACTATGCTGAGGCCCCTCCCCTGCCCAAACCCTGCCCTCTCCTGGATCCAACCCCAAAGTCTCCAGGTATTTTCCAACCCAGACTTGGTAACCCTAACCTAAAGCTATCAAATATGTTCTAGCTGGTTGAAGACTTTCTCCACATCAAGGAAGATAATAGCAACTGGATTTTTTGTCTTATTTATATTATTATATTAGATAATCTCCTTATATTTGATGATAGCTGTCTGCCTGGTAGAACGCCAGACTGATCATAGGAAATAGAAATATTTTTTCAGTCTGCTAAAATTGTTGTTAGTATCTTATAATCATAATCTAATGGACTCATTGGGCAGTATGAAACAACTATTTTACTGTTTTTTCTACTTTAGGTTGAAGTATAAGCCCGCTCTACTTGAAGCAATGTGGGAATTTCCCATTTTCCAATAAATTATTTATAGCATTGCCCTGAACTGGTTAGCCTATGCTAGCCTGATCTTGTCAGATCTTGGAAGCTAAGCAGGGTTGGCCCTGATTAATACTCTGATGGGAGACCACCAAAGAAGTCCAGGGCCTCTATGCAGAGGCAGACAATGGCAAACCACCTCTGCTGGTCTCTTGCCTTGAAAACCATACAGGGTCAACATAAGTCAGCTGTGACTTGATGGCACTTCCTACCACCTTCATTTATAGCATTGGTCAATGGCCATCGAAGACCTTTAGCAAAATGGTGATAAAATTCTGCTGTAAAACCATCTGGGCAGGGGCTTTCCTTTTTAAAATAAAATAATTCATAACCCCTTTAATTCCCTTCTCTATAACTGCCTTGTCTAGTTCCTCCTTCTCAGTCATTGACAGTCTTGGAATATTTAATTTTGTCAAGAAAGTTTCAATACAATGTACTGAAGAATTCTGTGGTTTATAAAGCCTTTTATTAAATGTCTCAAATGCTTGCAGAATATATCTAGTTTGTGTCATAAAGTTACCATCCTTTGTTTTAATACCCAAAATCAACTTCTTAGCTTTCCTCCCTCTGATCTTAGTAGCTAATAATCTAGCTGCTTTATGACTAAACTGAAAAAATCTTGGCTGTGTAAATACCATCTTCTTATTTGTTTCATCAGCTTCTAGTATTTCCAATTGACTTTTCTCTAGCACAATGCCCCCCAAAATTGTTTTCTCTCTGCGTTATAAAATCTTTCCTCACATTTAAATCCTTCTTTTTGTTTATTAATATCATTCTAATACAAACTAATACATTGACAAATAGGCTTTGCCAGTCTCCTACAATGAGATAAATTAATTTGCTGTGTTTACTGTAAAAAATAAATCAATGCCTTCCTTCTGTTTCTGTGCTACAAGCTCATTCAGTAGAAGAAACTTTCCTCCCCCAACCACTACTTCCCCATCAGCAAAATCTCCCAGTTTAGTGAACACTTTTTGAAAAAATATTTTCTGCTTATCATTTGGGGCATAAATTGTACCTAAAGTTACTTTCCTACCCCGAGGACAGCATTAAAAAAATAACACCCATCATTATCTTTCAGAATATTCTTTATTTTCAATTTCAGTTTTTTTATATATATTGTTACCCCTTTACTTTTAAAATCTATTCTGTCCCCTTTAACCTATATATAGCTTTTTCCTCTGTGTAAACCTGATATGCTCTGATAATAAGATCTGTTAAGAAAATCATAAAAGGAAATATTAAGCCAAAATAAGGTATGAAGGTGGGCTGCATCTTTCTCTTCTGGCACGGCTCCTGCACGTTTAAACATCTGTTATCACCACATAAAGAAAACCTTAATCTGCTGAATTTCTGCATAGTGTGCAGCAGCTAAAAGGCATACAAACTAGGCTAAGAAAAAAAAGGTACCAACCATGCTGTTTTTTCCACTGAGTTCTGCTGGTGTCTGCCTACAAGAAACCTTGAACTAATTAGAATACACTCAGAGAAAAAGTAACAAGGGACTTACGATTCACTGAGATTCCCACATCTGTTCCAGTAGGTGTTTTGTACTTTAATTACTGGTGATTGAGCCAACTCCTTTGTAAAGTGTGCATGGCAACAAGAGGCTGAAGAGAATCAAAAGCAATGATCTCAAAAGAAGAGCTGTTTCTTTAAACACACAATTGTAACTTCAAAGAATCAGAATACTATCCCCAGTATGAATGTAGTTAAAATTGGGAAGAGTTTATAAAAGAAAGATTTACAAAGTAATTTCATTTCAGTTTGAACACTGGACATGATAAGTTAACTCTAATTATATATTTGTACTGGCATCTGTTTGCCTACAGAACAAGAGTTTAACATTTCAGAATAGAGGACTAAAATTTGGACTTCCATAATTTTGATGCAAAAGAATATTATTAGGCTTATAGCGCATGCCAGTCCCACACAATTGCTTTAAGCTACATTGTATTCTGCCTGACCCTTAGAACAAACAGCAACTTCACCCAGAAAGTTTGGGCTTTGCTCCCATTCTGTGTGGCATTCCATATCCATTAGTAGTATTGCCAGCTATGGTTTGGGAATTCTTGGGAATTTTGGGATGCTGCCTGGGGAGGGCAGCTACCATTTACTCCAGGTAGGGTTGTCAACTCCAGACTGGGAAATTTCTGGGGATTTGGGGGTGGATCAAGGGGTGGGTGGTGTTTGGGGAAGGAAGAGACTTCAGCAGGTGGAGCATAATGTATGTAGAGTCTACCCTCCAAAGCAGCTATTTTCTCCAGTGGGACTGATCTCTATAGTCTGGAGCTCAGTTGTAATTCCAGGAGATCACCAGGGCCCTGCCTGGAGGTTGGCAACCCTAGAATCTAAGCCTCATGTATGAAAATTATATACTACCTTGATATCCTAACTTGATCAGTCTTGTAGAATCTGCTGAATTTTGCATTTTGTGAGAGCAGTTTGATTCGGAATAAGTATGTGCAGAAAATAGAACCCTTTCTTAGTGTTTTGCATTTCCAATATATATTGGTCCATTAAGTATTAGTTTAACCCATGTTTTAAAACAAGATTCAGCATAAGCAAATATGTTCCTCATGACTCACTAGGCCATCCTGTAAGCAGAACTTACTACAAAAAAGTACAAATATTATTGGAGAGATTACAGTTGTAATCTCTCCAATAATATTTGTACTTTTTTGTAGTAAATTCTGCTTACAGGATGGCCTAGTGAGTCATGAGGAACATATTTTGTCTCTAATGCTTTTTCCCCTTGCACATCTAAATATGATAGATACAACGTGTTGTCGAAGGCTTTCACAGCCGGAGTTCATTAGATGTTGTAGATTTTCTGGGCTGTATGGCCGTGGTCTTGGCATTGTAGGATCTGACGTTTCACCAGCAGCTGTGACTGGCATCCTCAGAGGTATAACACAGAAAGATGTAGTACTCTCTTTGTCAAGCTGAAAAAAAAAATGGTAGGCAGGTAATTTATATCTACTCAGGAAGGTGGGGTAGGGCTGAGTTCCCCAGGCTGTGAAAGCTCCTATATTAGCATGTCACAGCCTGGGGAACTCCTACAAGATAATGACTCAGCCCTACCCCACGTTCCTGAGTAGATATAAATTACCTGCCTACCATTTTTCTTCTCATCTTGACACAGAGGGTACTCCATCTTTCTGTGTCATGCCTCTGAGGATGCCAGTCAAGCTGCTGGCAAAATGTCAGGACCTACAATGCCAAGACCACGGCCATACAGCCTGGAAAATCTACAACAACTAATAATATACAACCTTTTATAATTTGAATAATAGCCCCCAGAAATGTAGGAACGTGACATTTCCCAGCAATAAACCACAATATTTGCTATGCTAGAAAACATAATTTCCACCTTTTGTTAGTATTTTCATTGCATAAAAAATTAAAGATATGTCAATTGTGGTTGTGTGCCAGTGTCCCCACTGACTATGGGAAAATGTCAGTGACATCTTCTGGGAAAAGCAATTCAACTATAACCCATCCTCCTCCTTACTTTTTTGGGAACTATTTTAATATTTAAAGATTGACTGCTCCGCTACCATATTATTCAAACACGGAAGCAACCAGTTAACTCTGAGACAACAAGTTAACCACCAAGAGAGCCCACTGTTCCTAGAACAATAGGCCCTTCATATCATAAACACTTTTTAAAAAGTAAAAGGTGTGGGTTCCACCACTCCAGGACTGCAGCACATACCACTCCTACATGAAAAAAGAGATATCAATTGACAACACAAGTGACATTAACAAAACAAAGCTCCATAACCGTCAAGACTTTGAGAAGGACAGTTCCATATCTAACTATAAGACAATTTCCCATTCAGTCAGGGCTGAATCCCATTAGCAAGCAAGACCCTGATATAGAAGTCCCAGGCATCTGGGAATCACATTATTCATTACAACAGCATATAATCAACTCTGAAGAAAGTGATAATAGAGTTAAAACATAGGGTTGCCAGTTCTGGGTTGGGAAATACCTGGAGACTTTGGGGCTAGAGCCCAAGGAGGGTGGGGTTTTGGAGGGGCATGGACTTCAATGGAGTGTAATGCCATAGAGTCCAACTTCTAAAGTGGCCATTTTCTCCAAGTGAGCTGATCTCTGTCACCTGGAGATTAGTTGAAATAGCAGGAGATCTCTAGCCCCTACCTTGAGGCTGGTAACCCTATTAACACATGGGCTGAAGCACACAAGCAAATAGGAATTTTGTAACTAAGGTCAAAAGGAGAAGGGATCTGGATAGTCCACAAATAAGAATACATCAATTCAGGTATAATGACTCTCCAAGGACCTCAAGCTAATGTGTATGGCAGTAGAGATAGGGTTGCCAGACCCCCCAGTGGAGGCGGGGACCATCGCTGCCAGGCCCCATCACCCCACCACTGATCAGCTGGCCAGCAGAGGGACTTAGCCCAAAAAAGAGCGAGGCCCAGCCAATGTTGCAGTAATGAGTCTGACATGACCCAAAAGTGATGTCATCACATCAGTGATGTTGGGGCGATGCTCTGGTACTTCGGCCAAAACTATATGGTAGAAGCCAAATTTACTATATGTTGCTGACTTCTGGGTCATTTCAGAAGTGACAGACACATCACTGCAATGTCGGTTGGGCATCCCTCTTGCTCCCGGTAAGTCCCCCCATCCCTGGCTGGTTGCCCTCCTGGCAACTCTAAGCAGAGAGGACAGTTAAATAGTTTTGCAAATGGTCTTCCATAGCTTATGCTGGTCTTACATTTCTCATATAAGGTGCATTCCAGCATGTCGGTCTCTGGGGTGGCTCTGGACTTGTGAGTAGGACCTTTTAGACATCGTGGCCTTTTGCTGGCAGACACTGCTAAGATGGCAAACAGTAGGAACACCGAAAACTTCAACATATTTTTCTTTTCCTTTGTTTGTAATAGTCCTGTATAAAAAGATATTCCAGTCAAAAGATGATATTCCAGTTCAAACTAATTTCAGAAAGAAATGCTACTACAGTGCAACAGAGGAACAACAAAGCACAAGAATGTTTGCTGACTTGCCCTCTCAATGCCACATACGAACCTTAGGTACAGTCAGAGTGTGTGTACCAGATGGATAGCTTACTATCAGCACATTGTCTATATTGGCAGTAACATTCTAAGTAGCTGGGTCCAAGTATACCTTGGGGTATACTGATGCCAGCTCTGACACCCAGTTGGCATGGCTAATTTTACCATCTAAGGGAGACCCACAAGATGATGAAGGAGGCCCAGTGCCATCCTGTTAAAGCTTGAGAGTGTGCCTCATTGCCTCCACTGCCACAGAGCGATCTGGAAAACAGTCTCAGTTAATCAGAGAAGCATAACAGGGGAATAAGACTAGACTTGACTAACACTTTGGGCACAAAAGCCTTTTTCAGGGCACAAAGGAGGGGGTGATGGCACTCCCACCTCTTCCCTGTATCGCATTCTAAGGCATTAGAACAGCTCTGTCCCTACAAAGCATGAAGGAAAATGGTAGCAAAGGAGTGTGTTGTGGGCTCTTTCCTGGAACACAAATAGAATCATAGACCTGGAAGGGACCTCCAGGGTTATCTAGTCCAACCCCCTGCACAATGCAGAATTCATAAATACCTCCCCCTCCACACCCACAGTGACTGCTATTCCATGCCCAGAAGATGACAAAAAACTTCCAGGATTTCCAGCCAAACTGGCCTGGAGAAAAATTGCTTCTTGACCCCAAAGTGTCGATCAGCATTTCCATGGGTGTGTAAGAAAGGGCCACAAGAACTCAGCACTGAGGCAACCCTTCCTGCCCTCCCTCTCATGATCTGCCTAAGTTCACAGAATCAGCATTGCTGTCCGATGGTCGCCTAGCCTCTGTTTGAAAACCTCCAAAGAAGGAAAGCCCACTGCTTCTTGAGGAAGCCTGTTCCACCGAGGGATCACTCTCACTGTCAGGAAGTTCTTCCTAATGTTTAGCCGAAAACTCTTTTGATTTAATTTCAACCTGTTCGTTTTGGTCCAACCTTCTGGGGCAACAGAAAACAACTCCATACCATTCTCTATATGAAAAACTCTTTTGATTTAATTTCAACCTGTTCGTTTTGGTCCAACCTTCTGGGACAACAGAAAACAACTCCGAACCATTCTCTATATGACAGCCCTTCAAGTACTTGAAGATGGTTATCATATCACCTTTCAGTCGTCTCCTCTCCAGGCTATAAACACACCCAGCTCCTTCAATCTTTTCTAATAGGACTTGGTCTCCAGATCCCTCATAGGATACCATGCTAGATGTTGCAATGCAAGCAAACCTCTGTTAAATGGATATGGCAGCAAGCCTCCAGGTGGTGCATGAAGGTTTCCCAGAATTGCAACTAATCTCCACGCTACAGAGATCAGTTTCCCTGGAGAAAACTACTGCTTTGAAGGGTGGACACTATGGTATTATAGCCCTCTGAGACCCTTCCCCTCCCCAAACCCCACCATCCAAAGGATCTACCCTCAGATCCCCAGGAATTTTCAAACCCAAAATTGGCAGCTCTAAAAAGGGACAGGACATCCTTGTCAGTTGGTAATCGTATGCCTCTCTGCAAGTCTAATGATCTCCCAGAGTTATCTTTCTGTTCATTGGAAGGGGTGGCAGGAAAGGATAAAAATGCACAAAGACTGTGTGTTTTCTGTGCACTAATGGCTGGACATAAACCAGTAGTAGTGCTAAGGATTAAGCTCAATCTTTTGGTGTCTGGAAAAACCATGAAAACACATATTTACCATATTGAAAATTACAAGAGTAAACCAGTGAAAATGACAGCATATCACATGTAAATTAGTATAGGACTGAATCTTCTTTCCTTGAGGTGAACTATTTTTGAATTAATTGCAAGCTTGTATAAAGCAAAGATTTCTCATTAATTGCTGTAACTGTTCTAAATTTCATTGGTTATAAAGGAAACAAAGTCAAACATATCTCCTTTACTCACCTGTGTTTAGCTGATTTTCAGTAATTTTTGTCTCCTTCAGAGGAATGCTTTTCATTCTCCCCCTCTCTCTTTATATATGCTGTTTGTCAGGAGATACCCATAATTTGTTTGCCAAGTAAAGTCCTCTGACCTTGTGCAAAGCTAACAAATTTATCTCAGGGTCACTTGCAATAGGAATGTTTACTGATTTACCTGAGGGACCGCATTTCCCCACATATGCCCCAAAGAGCACTTCGGTCGGGGTCACAACACCGGCTGGTGACCCCGGGCCCTAAGGAGGCCAGGCTTGTGGCAACGAGGGCCAGGTCCTTTTCAGTGGCAGCTCCTATCTGGTGGAATGAGCTCCCGGAGGAGATCGGGGTCCTGCAGGACCTTTTGGAGTTCCACAGGGCCTGCAAGACGGAGCTCTTCCGCCAGGCTTTCGAGTAGGAGCCGCCACTGCCACTACCACCACCGCTCCACTATAGAGCGACACCACCGGAGGGCCGAGTAACTTCTATCTACGGCCCTGGCCCTCCCCCTTCTGGTATGCAAGATGTTTTGGATCTTTCTATTCTTGTATCCTGATTGTACTGAATTTTAACTGTTTTATCTTTTTATACTGTATGCACTTTGTGCCTTGTTGTAAGCCACCCGGAGCCCGCTCGCAGGAAGGGCGGGGTATAAATATAATGAAATAAATAAAATAAATACATTTAGCAAGCAGCTCAGTAAAGTATCATTTCATATAACATCAATATCATCAGTGAGATAATAGCATCTAATTTTGGTCATGGAGATCCTGGTTTGAATTCCCACTCTGCCATGGAAGCTTGCTGGGTGACCATGGTGTAGTCTGGACCAGTGTTTTAGTCTGGTTTAGTCCACACCAGGATAGTGTGGGCAAGAACAGAAAAAGGGAAGTTGTTGTTACTGCAGATATACACAGAAAGAACCTAACTTATTGAACTGTGCTCCTATTTGAAACTAAGCTTCCTCCTTATACTGATACCTAGCAGTAAAGATACAACACTTGGGCCAGTCACTCCAGTCCCAGCCCAGTTTACTTCACAGGAGAGTTATTGTGAGGATAAAATGGAAAAGAGGAGAATGAAGGTGTAAGCCACTTTGGGTCCCACTGGGGAGAAAAGCTGGATATCAATCAATCAATCAATCCACACAGCCTGGTTGGGTCAAATACAGAACTTCATGGCAGCTGTGGAAGCAACCATGGGATTGTCCCAGATTGGTTCGAGCCCATTATATAATACATGTCATACACTAGATTTGTATATTTGCAAGGAGCAGGGTTCTGGAGATCTGGTTAGAGGAGCAGAGTTAAGGTCTTTGCCATGGTTGAATAGTTAACATGCTGAAGGTGCCTATGACACCCATTTATCTTCAACAGCAGAGGACAAGTTAGGATGGTATATCCCCAGAGACTGATGGATCCAGTTGGTTTCCAGTATGCCCTTGTTGCAGTATGGAAGGCTATTTTTACAAGGGACAGTAAATAGTTGCTCTCTGGAATCCTCTACACCCCTCCAGGGCCTACTTACCCTGTCGCTTACAAAGGAGGTAAGGGACCCCTAGAGGGAGGGGAGATGGCTAGAACACCATTGGCAGCAAAGCCACTTTCCAGTTTTGGGAGCCCCCAAGTTGAGAATGCCCAGGCACCCCGCCTTTGTCTCCTGTTGCACACCTACTTGGGACCCCCTTCCTGCCTATGTGCACCCCACCCATCCAAGTGTCCTTCCTTTCCAGCTCATTTGCTTGCAAGCCCCCTGGTCTCTGAGCTGTATGCACCCAACACATGCGCTTCCCCCAGTGGCACTGGGCAGCATGTATGGCTGGGAGCATGTGTGGTGGGAGTGCTCACAAGCAAGTGTATGGGCAGCAGGGCAGAATGTGTGGAGGTAGAAGCAATGGACCCCACCAGAAGCCCTGGGTCCTGGCAGCTGCCCCACCTTGGGGTATACTGATGCCAGCTCTGATTGCAGGATACTGAGTCAGACATAGTGTACCACAGAGCCCATGTGAAAATCTGTGAAGTGGTAGAAATGGTGGTGAATACATTTTTTTGCTACATCACCTAGATCTGATCTCTCACAAATTGTTTTAGGAAGGTGTCTATAATAACTTTTCCAGATTACTTTGCAAATAAAGTATCTCTTATCTGAAGACAGATCCCTTTATGTGTCAGAAGGAGCTCCTTGCCAGAATGTTATAGACAACGATGTCCTTGATTTATGCAGACAAATGTCCTGAGAAATCCACAACTTGCAAGTTCCATTCTTGCCCCCTTGATTGTCAGAAGAAAGTGAGAGTGCTTTGAATCAAGCCTGTTAATATGTCTTTTGTTTAGGTTTTGTCACAGCCTGTTTTTATAGGATGTATTTATTCTTTCCTGTTCAACAGGACACAGAGAGTTTCCACTGGAGATGTGGTGTCAAGGATATGGGTTATTGATGAAGAACCTCTATAGCTATGAGGGTGTCTGTTATCATCAGTATGCAGATGACACCCACCTGTGTATTATTTAACTTCCAGAAGCTGCTGTGGATGTCAGACTGGTATCTGAAACCAGTAGTCATGTGGCTGAAGGGAAACAAGCTGAAATTGAACCCAGACAAGATGGAGATGATGTTGGTTGGGAGGGCTAATATGCTGGAGGGTTCCCTGCTTTGCTTGTGTCTTTCTGGACAATTTTTGTGCATACATACATGGAACGCTGGAGGACCAACTGCAGTGGCAGTGGATGGCCAGGCTAGGCCATGTCAGGGAAAGGGCACAAATAACTTTTCAAGGAAGGAACTCTGCACTGCAAGTAGTTGTACAGAGTGGTGGAGGATCAATCAGCAGGGTGGAGGGTGGCTGGGATTGACTGCTAGGCTGGAAGAAGAGAATGGAGGCAAGGGAGAGATTTTGTGGAAAGGGAGGGATCTCTGA